TAATCATTCTCCTCATTTCGCTAGCATGTACTTGCCTGATATGACTTGCAGGCTCTTAAATGCAACCAGGTTACGGTGCCAATGCGTTTTGTAAATCAAATTCGTTGTGCGGTAAAATAAGTAGACCTGAGATGTACTTAAAACCGGAGGAACTGCGGTAGATTTTACTCGGTTTTTCTCGTGTTGGTGGGCGGGCTAAATGCATATAATTGCGACTAATGAAGCAAGAAACTTGTTTTTGTTTCTGCAATCCTATTATACATTAATACGGGCTCGAATTTTTGGTAGACAAGAATGAAGGAAGAAGCATAATCAGTCGCTCAGTTTTTCTTTTAGACGGGTACTAAATTTATATATTTTTCATTTTTTGTCGCCAAATTTCCTTTTTGTTTTCTTCATAATCGATCACCGAGAGTAATAGATTGTCCTACATTTCCATAGTGAAGTTGGTGGGTACATTTGTTCTTTTTAATATCGGCGATAAACCTTTTTGAAAGCGCCCGAAGCCTGTCAGACCTAGAATAATTATCCACTACTTGAGCTCCAAGACGGCACTTTAAAAGGGCTCTACGACAGAATGCTTCCGATGTACTGGCGTACCACGTAACTCGGGATTGATATGCCGATGCAAGGGTTGAGATTATATCATTAAAATGTGCGGATTATAGTATTATATAGGCAATGATACTTATGCTTTAGAACAATCGCTTTTGGTCAGATATCATTTCTCAAGAAAAATCGTGATTGCATACATAGAAGCTGAGAAGGCAGGTATTTCTATTTTACCTAATAAGGTCCGTGACGGCAGTTAAGAGAAGGCTTAGTGGAGCACAAGTGTAACACACTACGATATGGTGCAGGAGATGGCGTGTCTTCATGTTTACATAGAATAAGGATATCAGACAGAGGAATCTCAAAATACTGTGTTTCGAAGGCACGCAAGCACGAGTCTCATGAACGTTGGCTTTGTGAATTGGCTTTCGTCATCATATTTCTTCAAATGTTGCGGGTGTATTTACCCTAATGATGCCAATAAACACCCCGCATAAATGAATTCTGTGAATTACCCTGTGTCTAAGGTCAAGTCCATAGGCGCCTGGGGATAAATGGAAAAGTAATGTGGGAGCTCCATTTTAAACACACGCCGAAAGTCATGAAAAATTAGCAGTAGTCGTTACATTTGACCTTCAAGGACGAATGCTACAAAGATTGCCGTAAAACCAAATAGGCACAATGTGCTACACTCACCAAATCTCCACAAATTAACCTGTGGGATTTCCAACGAGTATTTTCCAACCCATTTTACGTGATTTTGTCCTAAAATGTGCTACACACGTGAAGTGTATTCACCTACCATTTAGCCTACTCCTATACGAATGAAAACATCCTCCCGATAGGATTCATGGGAGCTCATTGTTAATAGTTATTTGGACTACGAAGCGATGCTTTCCTTGTAAACTGTCAGTTACATTCACGGGCTACCTTTACCGTAGATGTCTACAATGTTGTGGCCTGTTAGATAGGTATTTGAATTCACGCGGCAGTCTATGTCTGCATATACGCTAATCCTGAATGCAAATTATGCGAGTTCTCCGACTATTTTATAGGCTTTCGAATACCGGTCAAGCTAAAAAGAAGATATGTATGTGCTTTCGAAGAAAAGACCTTGGTAGCTGGAAAACTTGAAACCTGTCCCTGCGTCAAAAGATTATGAATTTAAAAACTAGAAAGACAGTCCGTGTGAAAATTTTTGCTGATGTGGGTTGATAAAAAAGAGGAGGGAATTACGATGTAGGTAACTCCAAATTTAAAAAAGAATCCGGCTCACATCAGTAGATTTTCCCCGACGACTGACATAATAGTCAAGGTAAACCTTTACGGAAAATTGGTTCTAAGATGTATCTCGATTTTTTCCCTTTATTATTTAATTAATTGTCAAATCTGTTGAATATGTGTAAGACGCAAGCCATATTTTTTATGTTATCCTTTTATTCTAACATCATTGCGTAGAATAGTTAACAGATCGGAATGAATTTTCGATTCTCGTCTACTTTGCACTTGCAAGCAGTCAAGACAACCGGAAACCTAACTTCCATCTGGTTACTTCTGGATGATCATTAGTCCTGAGCTCTGCCCACTTAGCATATAAGAAGTATGTCTTAGCCCGCAACGAGGCCACGTGGCCTCCAAGAATCGTGCTTAAACTACCGCACTTTCTTTTATTCTTCGCAGGCAATTTGAAGAGTTGTGATGTTTGTTGGCACCCAATTGGAAATTAATTTTGACGGTCTTACAATAAAGGCCAACAACAGATTTGCCTTAGCCACTGCAAACCCCGCTAAAGTTACCCTTCTGATCTCGAGAACTGTTATTTTGCATGTCGAGTTTTCTTTCATATCAGGTATCATCAGGCCGGGAGAAGAGAAAACCATACCTGTGTCATTTCAATCATGCCGCGAGGGAATATATTCTGAAACGTGGGCGTTTTGGACCAGACCTAGTTTTAATGGCTCCCATCCCATTATGGTGCGATTTTTCGGGAACGCCATGTGGTCGGAGAGGCGTTCGGATAACGCCTGGGATCTGGAATCTCCCATTGAATTGGTGGGTCCCATCAACAGGATTTTGAATAAACGCATCACCTCAACATTGACAATGTCCCCGAAGCAAATTGACGCTGGGCATAGGTTGTGTAACCCCACTAGATCTAATCTGCACAACTAACTACTATATTTGTTTTAGCAAGCATTGTTTAATTTACCAACTTATAGTTAGAGGGAGTCATCCTTTGAACTTTGCCCAGCACACTGATATAACCACGTGGACCGAGTCTTTCTAGAATGATCTTTTTAGTGACAAATCGTCCGGCATGAGGCAGAATTCTGCTTTCGCCAGCCCCCTCTTCTTGATCCGTTTCTTTCAAAAGAGTGATTATGCATTCTTGCGGCGTGTCGATACCATACAGCGCGTGTTGTGAGGATCGTCGGTCGAGTTTTGGTCTACTTTGCCTCAGTTACAGCAAAACCACTCAGCTTCCACGATATCTACAAACGACTTCTGTTGTCGGACGTGTGTGTTATGACTTATTTACTTCTTTGCAAAAAGCTAGCTTAGCCTTCTTATGCCATGTCGGTACCAACCATACAATGCCTGCCATACGAGTCGTTGACTGCGCTTTGGTTTACTTTGGCTCGATTAGGACACAAACACTCAATCTCCATCATATCTCCAAACGGTTTCTGTTGTCAAACACGTACGCCATGGCCTACTTACTTCTTCAAGTATACCTGTGCGTATGTTGTAAATTGTAATGTTCTCACGAACTAACGTGCTATATCTCACGAGCCCCTAGACTTAAATGCAGCAAGTAGATCGGAGCAGTGAATAATATAGAGATTTTTGAACGTTAAGAAAACTGACAACAGAATACCACAGCAGAGCACGCTAGCAAGGCGGGTTGTGCACGTGTGTCGTTCCTCGTCACATTCAAACAAGCCATGCGGTCAAAGAAAATGGGACTAAATTGTCAAAGGTAAATTAGTCAGGTACCTCACCAAACGTAGTCCGTTTCAGAACTTGTTATAAGGCAGTTAAATACCGTTGAGTTTACGTACAAAAATTTGCTTACAAATGGTCGTCAAATTGAGTTTAAGAAGGAGCTATTCAGGTTCCCTATTCGGAAAGGTGTTGCACCGGATAGACTTCGCGATATACGACAGGAATATTTTCCACGCTTGCTTCAAACCTACGCTGTCTAGGCCAAACCACAGACGATATTAAACCCCGTCTACGTGGGCCCGTGCTATTTGACCAGACATCGGAGACCTTAGGGCTTTCCTCCTTCGATATCGGCCGCACCGGCATATATATCTGTCGATGTGCAGCCCAACACATTGATATTTTGCTACGCTAGATAGCAGTGTCCTTCTCTGGCAGTTGTCTACCATCTTCTCCGAGTTTTGGGCTTCGGTTATTTCCTCCGCTTTGATCAGAAAATCAAGCTTCGATTGTCTGACCTTTTTGTGACCAAGAGCTGATGTTCTGTATTTTAGAAATAAATAAACAACCGCCATTTCCTATTCTGTTCATGAATGCACTTCATTATTGTACACAACCTTTTTACACAAATGCTTGTTTCCCATAAATTTTTATTTTACAGTAGTCAGTTGACTTGTTATGAAGATACAAACAGGCGTCCATACTTTATTTATTTTTTCCCTGTTCATTAGGTGTTTTTCCATAGTTTCTCTAATACCCATGCGCATCAAGCCACCTTGCGGTAAATTTCCACAATTACTATATTCGATACTTACTGTTCTTCTCTCCTGTTGGTTGTTCGCTCCATTGGTCCCTGGGCTGTCGCAAATTTGCAGGCAGCGGATTATTCAGTTACTTTTAATGAGTTACAAGAGTTATGAAAGAGCTAATAATCAAATATCAAACTAACTGATATTCTAACAAATGCCATGCGCGTCACGTTGAGCCGAGTTCCTTCCATTAAGATAAACAAACAGTAAGTTCAAGAATGATGATCAGTTAGGTAAATGCAAGATAGTCTGGCTCCTCAGGACAATACCCCCTCCGAGACCGGAGGGCGGCGGAAACAACGCCGAAGGATGTGTACAAATCAAACAGAAATGAGTGGCCAACCGATCAGGAAAGTGAACGTGACGACCACTGCGAATGATATATACAGGGTCCGTAGAAGAGCAGATACGTCCTGTGGCGGAAGTGTTGAAGTTAAATGTGGGAGTTGGAGGTAGTGGACAGGAGGGAAGAGGGAAAATACAGGACGGCGGACTAGAGGCTGGGGGAGGTGGGGGAGCAGAGAGTAGTGCACCAGAGGGCTCGTCCGATAGGAAGTGCGGGACAGATGCTGTAAGGTGTCCACGCTCACGACCTCCTCACGATTGGCGCGTTGAATGCAGAACTTCTTAGTCCCTCGAGAGATGACCCGGAATGGGTTGGCATAAGGCGGTCTCAGAGGTCGGCGGACTCGATTACATCGAAGATAGACGTGAGAGCACGTCGCAGAGTCCTCCTCGAAATAAGACGGAGAGGCAGAGGAGGTGGGCGGAACCGCAGAAAGTGTCCGCATAAACTGCCGGAGGCGGTGCAGGAGGTTGGTGGGATCCTTGACCGCGATAAAAGGATTTGGCGAGACCATCTTGCCAGGAAGTCGGACTGTCTGAATGTGCTGTAGCGGGCTTCGGCCCTGGATAATTTCCTGGAAAAAAAGCCAAAAGCATGGTATAGTCTGACAGACATTGCTGGAGAACCGCTCCAACAGGAACATTGGATGCATCGATCATCAGAGCTATGGGTGCATCAGCATGAAAATGAGTCAGGAGGGTGGCATCAGCCATGAGGGCTTTTACCTGCTCAAATGACGTGAGTGCTTCTGGAATCAGTTCACAGGTGCGCTTAGAACCTGCGAGGATACTGGTCAGTAAGAGGATGGTGTCGGCACATTTCGGGAGAAATCGACGACAAAAGTTCACCATACCGAGAAACCGTTGCAGCTGACGCTTCGAGGTAGGGAGTATGAAGAACCGAATGGCAGCCACCTTTAAGGGAAGAGGCCGAATGCCGTTGGAGTCGATCATATGACCTAAGAACTCACGGGATGTGTCTCCTAGGACACAGTTAGCAGGATGCAGGGAGGCACAAAACTGCTGGAAGCGGTCGAAAAGTAGGGTAAGGTGTTGAAGATTTTCAACAGCATCCCGACTGGCGACTAACACGTCGTCAAGGTGAGCATAAACAAATGGAGTGCAACGTAATTCATTGTCGATGAAACGTTGGAAAGTCCGTGAAGCCTTCTAGAGACCAAATGGCATGCGAAGAAGTTAAAACAAGCCAAAAGGGTCGTCACTGCCGTTTTGGAATGTCCTCAGCCACAGTCGGAATTCTATGAAACGTCCAGACAAAATCGATCTTCGTGAAAGCCATTTTACCAGAGAGAGCTCCGATAAAGTCCTGAAGGCGAGGAGTCGGGTACCGATTGGGCATAACTATATTGTTCAGGACTCTATAATCGCCTCAAGGACGCCAGTCATCCGTTTGCGGTTTAGGAACCATGTTCAAAGGAGATGCCCAGGGACTGTCAGACTGTCGAATAATCTCTAGCTGCAAAAGGTGGTCGACTACAGCCTAAGCAGCCGCAAGACGGGTGGAAGTAAGACGTCGGGGACAAAAGAAAATTGGAGGAGCAGTCGTTATTATGTGACGAAAAATACCATGGGGCAATGAGGAGCAAATTGCTGCACGTAAATCGTGCAATCACACAAATCGTCTTGATCATTATCAGAGCTTCTTAGGTCATCATACTACATGTCTGGCCGAAAATGCTCACTTGTACCTCTATTTCTGTATAAAACCCTGTTAAATTGAATTTGTGTCCTACTGATGCTAACTTCTGTTACTCTCAGATAGAAAAGCGGGCTACATATCGCATGGTGCAGCGTATAATTCAGGAACTCCTCAATACTTTAAAAATCATAAGATCATCTGAGAGCACTCATATTCTTGGTGAGACAGAGGAAGATATTTTCAAGGCCAAAAATCCAATGGTAAGTGCACAGCAAAAATTGTCCTTTGCCAATATGTTTCACTCCTTAAAGTGATTTATAACTCCAAATTTAGGTAAAGGTCTCCTCTTGATTCCGACACTATAGTGTCTCAATTAAAGGTCTACATGCTAGTTTAATAATGTAACTATGTAAAGCAGAAACTTCGGTGGTAGACAAGTGCATTAAACGTCAAGGCATTTAGTGAACTATCGAACAAAAGAGCAAAATCTATTCCCGATTCGTCCCAGTCGATTTTTCTAAATCTTCTTCCACTTATTTATGCAGGCAGACATCCCTGAAATGTCTGCTTTGAATTTAATATGGTCTAACTAAGGTATTTTTAAACCTGGTTTTAAAGCTTCATTACACCGCGGATGGTGTCGAAAAGCTTCAAAAGTTGATTGGCGATATTTCCAGTAAAAAAACTCAAGATCCAGATATGGAACTTGTATCTCAGACAACAGGGAATCTTCGCCAATGGGATCTGTCAGTCAGCTCAATAAAACAGGTATCGTGTCCCGACGCTATAATATTGTAATCTTTTGTGTTAAACTTGGCACGGTCTGTGGAGCTCCCTCCAGACAGACGCGTAATGAGTGTGCAGAACCTAACCGCTGCGTCTCCAGTGAAAATTATAGCCTCTAATTCATGTGAACCTACAATTCACAAGATATCTAGATTTTCTACTCAAACCCACCGTCGTCGCATGTGCTTAAATGCTGCCTAAATCTGCTAACTAAGCAGACGGGTTGTTGTAAAATAACGTTCGGATATTTTAATATGATCGCACTTAATCGCGCCCATTTTAGGAGCATGACTTCTGTCGCATTTACGTTCTAGTTTATCGCACGCCGGCGAACAGCAGTCGAGTGGAGGCGTTCATATTATAAAAATTAATCGGCAAAGGATTCGATTAAAGAACAGAACACACAAATAATCCACACTCTATATGAGACGGTCGGTTAGAGTTAGCCCTTCTGTTGATAAACTTACACAACATAAATGAGGTCAGTGCCTATGATTCCGATCTGAATAGAGAGTGATCACGATGTCTGTAAATAAATAAATGTGCACTTTGCAGGGGGACGAATGTTAGGATCAACTTTTGCTAAGGCTTGAAGAAGGCGATAGAGCGAGATTATCACAGAAGTTGTGTTACAAAATGATGAGTGACGACGGTAATGACCATCAACCAGAACGAAACCACTGGTATTAAGTCACCAGCCTTTAAGTCGTGGCTGCCAAGACTTTAGTGTTTAACAAGTGCGAAAAAGAAATTCTGTGATATTATAAAGAAGGTTTACGGAGCTAAAGTAGTTATTAACTATTATGTTTAGGCAGATTCTCCTTTACCTGCTTTTCCGGGCTAATAGGGAATTTTCCCTCAATGATGTTGTTATCAGCCGTTTACTTGGAACTATTCAGGCGTGCCAATATACGAGATGCATTCATCTGAGTTAAAAGGTAGTATGGCATTATATGATGCCAAAAGCAGTCGAGTATAGGGATAATAATGCTAACGGGAAGAGTAAAAGCGATCGATATTTGAAACCGTCCGCATTTTGGTAAAACTTTCGATCTCGTAAAGGGACTCATTCCCCAAAACAACGAGGGCTACCAGACAGATGAATAACTTTCATAATGACGTATCGCATGTCGGCTGTGTATATCGTTGCGCGTAGCAGAATCGATCCATCTGACCTTTTTAGGGGAGCGCAAGGCAGGAGGGAGAAAGGTCGGACCATTGTCAGTTACAGGCCTCAACTAGCTCTCGACCTGTCTTGCTGCCAAGTCGCGCTACTGTCCGTGTAGAGTTCCTCCGAGTCGCTGCAATGATTAATGATCTTTTAAAAGATTCTCCTAATAGCTACGCTTGTGATCTTCCGGATGATCGCTGTGATAGATAAATGCCTATGTTAAGCTGCGCCGTAGTACTGCTTTCGTCATTTTATTTTCGCTAAAAGAGAATTTTGGGATGAGCAGCTGCCATCCGTTCTTTTCCATAAATGTGAACTGGGTATCAAGGATGACTCTGGACTGCATGATTTCCTCAGTATCAACGATATTGTAATTAAGGTATGTTTAGCCAAGGAAAGGCTTCTTCAAATGTTTGCAGGATACAGCATGGAGTCCGCGAAACTCCTCTGGGTCCCATTGCCGACAAAAAGGGCGCTTTGAAAAAGTGCTAACCGATAAATGAAGCTTTAGAGCTTAGGGTGTGGTCGATTTCGTAACACTCCCCTTCGTGACGCCAGCGCTTAACTTCGGGCTCCAAGATAGGCAGGATAAGAGCGAAGAAGTCGCTTCGAAGGAGGCCGTATTTCTCTCAATTAAGCTTCACGCCTTCGGGAGCAGGTGACAAATCGTGTGAAGGAATCCAGCTAGGTATATGAGTCCTTCCAAAGAAATTTACATTTTCGGACTACATATGTACGCAGGGTGTAGTTTAGTTTACTGCCATAGAGAAAACATTCGAGAGCGGACACTGACCTCGGGAGGCTTTGCGTGAAGGATTCTGTTTAACTTTAGTCCTGGAGTAGATTAACGATGCGTCAGTTCAAATGTAGTCCGAAAAGTAATGCTGATAAATCACCGTTCACTTTTTTTCAGGAGATTGTGGAGGCACACAAGGCCGGTTTATTTTCAACTGCACTCTTCAACGAATTTTTGCGAAAACTATATACAATCGTAGATGGTTTAACAAAACAGCCCGTGATTAGTGAAGAGAACATCGCAACGGAAAGATATCGTATAGCGTAAGTGTCTACTTTTGTCTCTTTGCATCCATCAAAGCGAGTTAGTTAAAATCAACATGACTACAACTAGCGCAATCGTTTCGGAGATAAATCCTTAATTTAGTTGACCACGGACTGTCTTGAAAAACGAGACATTCTCTTAATAATTAAGTGCCGTCATATAACACTAGTCTCGGAAACGCATTCCTTATATCTGTGCACTTCAAGTGTAGCAAATTACATTTATCCCGCTGTTCTCTGCTTTTCTATCTGTTTATTCAGTTTACACCCATGCATACAATTCACTGTTTTTTCAGCATGCCTATGAGGGACGCTGTGTCTTAGAGTAAATGCGTAGGGGGGTTGAAAGCTGAAGATATTTGCGGGACATAATATTTAATGCACTCATATCAAAAAATCACTTTGTTTCATTAATAATGTCACTAAATGTCTACAGGTTAGAATCTGTTTCGATACAAATCGCCAGTTTGACCACATGCGGAGACTTCTCGTTTCATGCATTTTAACAAACTGGTTTGCGACTGAGAGTTTACAATCACACAAGTTCTTAATATATTCCGAATCATGAAAAATCTAGACCTGCTGGTCCAATATCTTCTTCAAATATTCAGCCCCTTACTTTTGATGAATGTGGACTTTTGTTGTAGGAGGCTTAACTAAATACTGCGGAGTGAGTGTAAGCACAACTGACCTTTGCGGTGTGAAAATAACTCATTCGTTAGATGTACTTTGGGGATTCACCCTGCGTGGAACGTGTGTTCCGCGAGACCAAGGGGATAATGGGGGCATATATGCATGTTCAAATTTTTCTCCTAAAAAGGAGTTTAAAGCAACTGGCTTGCATAATGTGTTTAGGAAACCACTGCCCGCTGTGCTGCGCGTACGCTCCTTGCGCCTAAGCAATCTCACTAAATCTGCCTCTGTAATAATTATTATTGGAAATTTCGAGTTGTCGACTGTCGTACCCCGACAGAACCAGCAAAGATTACGATGCAGGCACATTTGTTAGTAACTACCTCAAAAATCCTATAACGCAAAATTACGACTGAAATATCCCATCCTTCTAATCAATTAGTTCCGATGCTGCATCAGCCTCCAGAAGGTTGCTGCAAGAAAGGTATGTTTCATTGTTCTTTTGTAAGAGGTGTCATAACACTTTCGAAGGCATCGGAACATAAGATGAATGAATATTTGACGCAGGTATAAATGTGCTCCGGAGGAAGTCAATCTAAGGGCCCAGGAGGGATTTCCCTTAGAATGTCAATGCCACTGTAACAC